GCACCATTTTGCACTCCCACCAGTAGTGAGTAAGGGTTCCGGTTTCCCCGCAACCTCGCCAGCATTTGTTGCTTTCTGTTCTGTTAAATTTTGCTATTCTGACTGGGGTGAGATAATATCTCATAGTTGTTTTGATTTGCATCTCTCTTAGAGCTAGGGATTTTGAACATTTCTTCATGTGCCATCTGACACTTCTTCAGTGAAGTGTCTGTTCATATCCTGTGCCCATTTTTCTATTGGATTATTTACCTTTATCTTGTTGTGGTGCATTTTTATAACTTTTTCTACTTCTGCTTTCACTGTAGCATAAGCTGTTCTACAGTCTTGGAGAGGGGAAGGCAATGCATGTTTTGTTTTGTGTTGTTTTTATTTGTGTTTTTTTTAAGAGAGGGTGGTGTCCTCATCTGAAGAGCAATCAAGTCAAAACTCCCTCAGAAGGTTGGAAAATGTCTGGATACGGAATGTTCTCCACAAGATGTCCAGATCTTTGCGTGTTCTTCCATATAAGGGTGGCACGAGGTCAGGCAGTATTCCATTTTGTTGTAAATAAGGTCCCTATTAGTTGGAGTTAACACTACTGCAACCCAGCAATCTTTACAGGAGCAGACTGCCCATCTTCATGTGTTTTCATGAATAAAAAAATAATAATCATAACTTCTTTTCATCTGTTTAAGTGTCTGAGTATTCTTCCAGTTCTGAAAGTGAATTTTCTGGGTGTGGCAGAGGTGGGCAACAGAGTTGTATAAGGATAGTAGAGAAAATAAAAAAGAAACTTGTGGAATTCTTGGAAGCCGGAGTTCTAAGCTACACAGAAGACAGGCACTGGGCAGATAAGAGTCAGGAATGGCAGGTCAAAGTCGATGGGCAAAATGAACTAGGAAATCAGAGATTAAAGATGCAATCATGAAGTAGGCAGTTAAGAGTACAGGTCTGAAGGTATGCATTCAGCACATAGTTGACAATCAGTGCCACGTTGTAAGCACTGTGCTGAGAATTCAACAGAAACAGAGACAGGCAAACAACTCTGTCTTCATGAAGCTTGTTTTCAACATGGATTAAAAAGGCAGTTCTTCCACTTTTTATGTGTAGTCAGTGAGCTCATACCCTCTCATTTATAAAATGGTGTAACAATTTGCTTATGGGTTAGAAGAATCAACATATTAAGGATGTCAGTTTTCCCCTAAATGCTTACCACAACTTTAGTCAAAACCATAACAAAGTTTTTAAACAAGCATATTCTAAACTTTGTATTAGAAGGAACTTAAATTCATTGCCAACACGTTGGAGCTG